TTTCTTGCAGATCTGTAACAAGCAATAAGTCAATATCCAGAATGTACAGAAAACAAATAGTGTTATATGAGATCCTGCCCAAGCTGTCTCGCCCTGTTTCACTTCTAACTATGTTCGTATCAGTTTAGTTGATCGAAATGTGGTCAGCTAGCTGGCTGGTGGAATGATGAAGTGCACTGATGAAAATTGGAGGATGATTAAATGTCCGTTCACTACAATCTGCCCCACTGTGTCGAAATGTCCTGGGCTGCTGAGAGAGAAAAGACAGACAATTACACTGCGTCCTGTGCAAAAAGCTCTCTCTAATTAAAGCACACTTACACTGCCTTCTTTAAAAGCCAGAATTTGATTTTGCTTTTCCAGTTCCTAAAAGACTAGAGGGCATTGTTATTCTGCACAAGTAGCATTTAAGTGACTACATAGGTACTAATTGCTGATCCATACACTAGGACTTGTTACTGCAAGAAAAATAAAAGAAGAAATAAACCAAGGAAGAAAAAGCAATCTTGAAATGTTTTTGAAACTGATTTATACATCATTATGTTCATTGTTGACTCATTCTAATAGACAGTATTAGCATATTTTACAATATGTGGCTGCATTAGTTTATAAAAAAAATCATATTATTCCATAGTCTCTCACAATACGTAATGTTGATCAGTTTGACAAATAAATGCAGTCAAAAGTCATGTAAAAAACTGTAAGAAATAAATGTTACGTTTTCCATTCGCAACATGAACACTATTGAAAAAAATATCTTAATTGAGATTGTAATAATCTATGCATCAAATGGTTAAACATTCTTGTTTCTAGTTTTTTTTATTTTATTTTATTATTACTATTATTCACATGCGACATATGAAACATTAGCAACCAGACCCTGGTCCATCTTCATGTTTCCCATGTTTCTGTCAAGCCACATTAGCTTCATGAGAACAGGGAAAAGAGAAAGGTAGTTAATGTATCACACCTGCAGTCATCCTCTCATGTAAGCGGCATGAGTTAAAAATGTACCAGAACTGCAATAACAGGGGAAAAAAAGGCTTTTAAAATTGAAGCTCAAAACAAAACATCTAACAGTTCCATTTTCTGTTTCAAAATAAAACCTTTTCCTGCTAGTTTTAACTAAGACGTTTAAATAAATTCTAAAAATAATTAACTTACTAGACTGATTATCCTAAGTTAGTTCAATTTTGTAATCTGCATAAATGAATTTAGTTCTTATGAAATATTTACTGTTCTTCAGCATAAACATTTTACAGCCAGCAGGATGACAGGCGAAGGAGAGACGCTAGCAAACAATCTAACCTGGAAGGTGATGAATTCCTCGGAGTGTGAAAACACTCCCCCACCGGTGTAGGTTCTACCATTTGTGGAGGGTCATTTGGTGCAATAAAAAAGGGTTTCACGGTTTACAGTCCGGTGGGCCGGCAGATGTAGTGACAGACGATTTTTAGCACATGAGTTCAGAAACCAATTTTCACTCCTCCTCCACTTGACCCCCAAAAGAAAAAATGATTTTCTGAATGCAAACTCTACATTTTCCAAGGAATATGGTGGCAGTTTAATGGTAAATTAAGTAAAAGAAATAGATGCAGCATGAAGTGTATGTACGAGAAGCTTTTATCACAAAAGTGGTTTTAAAAAAATAAAACTCCAAAATATCCAGCTGAAAGAAGGAGAACGCATGTTAGCAGCTGCTTCTGCATCTGTCATGTTCAAGATGTTTGAAGGGTGATGTTTTATACCTTGGAGCTTTCTTTGATATCCGTGGAGTGACAGCAATGACATCTCTGCACAGCCAAGTGTCAAAAAAAACCACACTGTTATTTGGCCCAAAGTAGAAGGAGCAGAAGCATTCGTCTCACACAGGTTAGGTTGACTCCAAAACTCTCTGTGTTATGTCAGCATGAGACAAAAAGATGTTCAGGTAAAATGTTACAATGTGATGAGGTGCTAAAAACACGTCTTTGGATAGAAATAACAGTCATAAAGACAGGAATAAAATCGCAATAGCCACTATTAAATAATAATACAATCTGGTTTTCATTCCAGTCATTTCTTTTTTTTTTTTTTTCTGAATCTATGGCAGTAAAATCCTATCAGGTATTTGTTAGTTACAGACTGTGCTTTTGCAATCCCCCATCCTCAGAATCTGTCATTATGTTTGGTAAAAAAAAAAAATCTTTAGCTAATGTAAAAGTGCTGCAGTAATAGTTCTTGTAGCATAGGAAGTCTCTAAGAATTAAGCTCCACTTTACATTAATGATTTGATTGTTGGGTAATCCCAAGAGAGTCCTTCGATCTCAATCTTTTTCAATTTTTCTGGTCACCTAGTTACCAAATAATCTACTATTTGTCCCTCAGTCGGGACAACTATGAGTATACACTGCAAGGAGACTTTCAAGAGGAACACACAGATACAATATAAGTGTGAAGTAACGTTAAATTAAAAATTTAAACTGTAAAGACAATCGATAGTAGTGCATTGTTTGCAATTATTGCTTTCATTAACTCAGCATTTTCACTTATAGTAGGCCTCACCAAGTGTTAAGCTTTGCTGGGGTTACCAGAAAACCTGTGAGAAAATGGAGCGCTGGTGAACGGCAGGGCAAGCCGTCACAGTGTAAAATCATATGATAAATGTCTGATGAAGTTCTTACAGCTGGTTTTGGTGTTGACAGGTTTGGAGGAGAGGGAGCAGAGCCTGAGAGTTAGTCTGGTGTTGGGGTTGTTAAAATGAGTTTAGTGAGTGTTGGAGGGCAGACAGGTTGGAGGTTGGAGTGCGAGGAGTCTTAGTGGATTACCGGGGTAAGGAGCTACCAGGAGCCAGGAAGTTACGGCTGGAAGTATCTGGGCACATTGAAGTTTTCTAACAAGAGGAGAAATAAGTCGGTTTCACCTTGTAGAAAACAAAGATCAGATACGTAAAGCTGAAATTCTAAAAAGTATAGGCAAAACACAAAGGGCTTGAGGTTACCACTAAAGCTCCGGCCTCCAGAAGAAGAAACCTACAGCTCAGGAGTTCAGCACGATGCACAGACACAGCAGAACCCATTAATCTAAGCAAAAATGTTGTGTATAACCAGACTGTTTAATTTATATTTAAAAGACACTACACCAACAAATTAGTAATTGAGTTGTTTTAGCTGCAAAATGGCAACATTTTGCAGCTAAAACAACTGCAAAATGTGGGCATATGAGGTAATCACCCTCATATGCCCACTTAAACCAACTTTTAGATGCTCCAACATCCGAATAAAACGTCTGAATTGGCTCCACACCATGCCATCAAATTCTGCTGAAATCCAACAATGAGCCGTTTATTTGACTGAGGTGTGACGGAGCAGTGATGCATCAAAAAGCTCTTGAGGATCGGAGTTGGAGATCCCTGGCTTAAAGAGTATTAATGGGACTTTTTATGCCATTCAGATTATGTGAAATAACAAATCAGTACGCGATAGTGTACCACAGGATACTGTGAAGTAATTTTTTTATACAATAAACTGCACAAACATTTATCAGACTGGAGAGAACTGTTTTCTTTGTGGATGAATTTCCTCAGATGTTCTAGCGGTCCACTTTCCTATATAGGAGGGAAAGAGGCGGCTGAATATGTCAAAGAGGACCCAATAAATAATGGATGCCATGAAGCTTCGGTGGAGGTTGTCGGCTTTGAAATGCGCTCCCAGGTTGAGTCATATTCTCAGTTCTCTCACTCCATTTTACATTTAACTGGCTCTCTGCGGTATAGCCAACATGTCCAACGCACACCCTCACACACACACACACACACACACACATACATTTATAGCTCATTTTTTTGACAGAGGCTGTCTGAAGCAGTTAGTGCTGTGGAGATGCTGAACTCTGAGTTATTACACAGGTGTTGTCTTTGTCTTGAAGGCTATCTCCTGCATATATCAGCTTCAATTTCACTCTGAGTACTTCAGGCTTGAGAGGCCAGTTGATCGTGACAGGAACAAAAAAAAAGAGACAGCAGGACAAAAGAAGAACACAAGCGGCTGTGTGAGCCTTCTCTAAACCAGGTGCTGAAGGAAAATTGCACGGTTTCTTGACGAGTTCAAAACAAAGACTGCAGTGGATTTATTTCTAAACTTTAGGAATTATCTTTATGCTCAAAAGCAGAGCTCTTGCCTGTGATAATCTCTTATGCACAAACTAAGATTAACTCACTTTGGGTACAGAAGAAAACTGCAGTATTGGTGACAAATTCAACAAAAAAAATACTTGGTGTTTTTTGTTGTTGTTGTTGTTGTTGTTGTTTTTAAGCCAGGAAATCTAAAAACTATGCTGTGGATGCCACATGCCAGGATCGTACAAAGATGCATCACAATTAGAATCATAAAAGGTTTACTTACATCTTAGCATAATTAATAACACACTATGGTGAAAAAGAAATATGTACTCCAATATGCTTTAACTTACTTTAATAGCAAAATGACCATCTCGCTTTAAAAACCTCATATAGAGCCGTATGGATTTAGTAGAATATGAATAAATTATTGAAAAACAAAACGAAAACAAATAGTGCACTGAGCTTAGCCCTTATTTTCATTACAATTTTGGTTGATGTTGGTTGATTATTACTCTGTTCTTTTTTTAAAAGGCAGAACAAAAATCACCTGCCAAATGCCATTTTTTAAAAAGAGGGCAAAGGGGGATTAAAGAAAAAAAGAAAACAAAAGGTTAATAGAGTGTGAATATTAGATAATCAGTCAAGACCAACGAAAGTCTAAGGAAGCCAGAAAAGTGCCTTTGCGTATCTCTGGTAAGGTTGTGAATTTTACAATTGCGCGCCTCATTTGTGAATTATTTTATCAAGTTTTAAAATTAAATGGAGATAATTGAGAACCCGGCATTAATTTGTGCATAGGCTAACTTTGTGGGAGCTCATAGCTGAATTAAAACAGTCGCACTCCGACTCACCACTCACGTCTTCCTGAGATACATCCGCTTAATTGAGTCGAGCCGCAGCACTCCTTTCTCCCTCCGCCTGCCTGACCGCAGCATCTCCTCCCGCTCAGGCAGGAGCGACAGCCCTGTGTTTTCCTCCAGGTCCAGCTGTGGGTGTGTGGGTGTGTGTGCGTGTATGAGAGTGAGTGTCAGCGGAGGAGATCAGCTGCTATCCATGCTCTCTTCCTAATGTCACAGTTTAACTCAGCTGCTTGAAACACCGGCTGCGGCTATGGGAGCGTTTGGACTGATGATGAGGATTTTACAGTACGCGGGACTTTACGTTCAACTTAACGCGGGTCTGCGTGACGGATATGTAAAGGTGGATAATCGCGTCTCTGGAAATGGTACGTTCTACCATGACTGAGATCATTCATTTAATAGCCATCAAAATCAGTGTCCTGGTATATTTTATTGAATACTACTTTGATTAGATGAGGATTTGTCTTTTTTCCCCATTTCTTTGGTTTTGGATTTTAAAAGACTGAAGAGATTGTACAGCTAATAATTAAGGCAAAACCTGCATTACAGTTTTGGAATACATTAAGTTCCATTAAAATCAAATGTAGATCTTGACAAAAATATAAACCACTGTTTACTACTTATTTATTAATTAAGCTCCAATCTTGCATATTCAATATCAGTTGAAGTATGTAGAAAACTTCAAACAGCAACAGCTGCTAATGTTAGGCTCAGCTGGATGGAGGACTGCAAGATTTTCTGCTAACAGATCCTGCAAATTTCTAACATATCACTGACTTAAATTTCAGTATCCATACAAACAGGTTTCCTTAGAAATCGGCAGGACCTTAAACACCTGGTTTAGAATAAGGTTTGTGTTAACCATGCAGTGTAAAGAGAGCGCATGGCACTGCAACACATTAACCTTTAATGAATTTTTCCTGCTTTCTTCAGGCTGCAGGTTTTTGTTTTTTGTTTTTTGTTTTTATACCAACAGTTCATCCGTAGTTGTCTTATTACTTTAAGAGTTTGCTTACAGAAATGTTGGCAGCTTTTCTGGTATTCACCTCTGATCAATGTTTAATATTCCACAATCATAAAAATTCATGCATCAGTTAATTTTTGCTGTAATTCAGTTGTTGTTGGAAAACTTGTGGAGAGGAACATTGGAATAAGATATACATTGAGAAGAAATGATATAGGGGCAAATTTAAAATCTGACTATTTTTAATTGTCTATTTCATTGCCCAAATAACTTACAGGAAGATTTCCCCCGTTTTTCACTAGCTGGCACCGTTTCCACAGATTTGCCTTTATTATCTTTGACGTTCCTTGGGCCAAACACGACAAGATTCACTCAAACAAATCTTAAAGACCAGTTTTTGTGACCTTCTCCATGCAGCAGATTTTGTAAGATTTAATAAGACATCAAAGTCTGTTTCTCCACTATTTAGTAAAAGGCAAAACACATTTTCATATCTTACTGCTTAGTTGCAGCCCATGCGGCACAATGTGTTGTAAAGCGAACGTTGTTAAGGAAAAATATGAGGGAATGCTTATTCAGTGAACTTTCGTTGAAATGTGTTTTCAAATGCACAGACCTCCATAAAACTAAAGTCCCTTTTATGCATCTCCAGTGCAAAACCCTAATAAATATAAGCCTAACACAAAACGAATACGTTATAGCTAAACAATTACAAATAAGTGATTGACCTAGTGAAAAAGTGAACTTTGAAACTGTCTTACAGCAAAAACAAACATGCAGGTATCTTACTAAATTGTCTGATGGAGGCAATGAACAGCTTTTGCTGAAATTTATTCTCTTTTACAGCCTTTCTTTCTGTAGCTGCAAGGTTAGACTGACTTCTGTTTTGTAAAACTGCTGCAGGTTCTTCAGGTTTTTGAATTATATGAATGTTTTTGTCATAGACATACAAAAGTCACTTTCACGAATATGTACATGCACTAATAGATTTTGCAACATCCTTATTATTACCCCACATACAACTGAAGGATAAAGAACTTGTGGATCAGCCTACTGCTCTCTAATAGTAAATCATCAGAAGACGTGTGAAAACATCAGGAAGTTGGTCAGCAAATATATGTAGGTTTTGATTGCAATAATATCAATAAAGTTTTTGCCACTGATTATTTGGGAGGACACAAACTATTCTCAATATCCCACTCTTTATGGTCGATTAGAGACCTATTCATTTCAAAATGAGCTTTTCTTTAACATTATTTTTACTGTGTTTCAAGAGATGCTTCTTGGTTGAATGAAAATAATTTTAAATATAAATCTTTCAAGGCTATGAATAATTTAAGGTCTAGTAGCAGGCCTTGAAGTCCCACCATATTTCACTCTTAGCAGCACACAAGCAACTTCAGTAGCAGAAAACTTAGACTTTTGTTATTTCTTATATTTTGGTAATCCTCTGGAGATTTCTCTCTTCCTCTCTTTCATTTTTTTTTTTTAAACCAGACTCTTTGATAAATTGCCTGAGCAGAGGGGGAGCTGAGCCTTCATGCAGAGCAGAGAGGCTGCATGCACCGTTCTGAAGAGTGCTTGTTAGAGTCGACCCTGGCTCATACGTTTTTAGATAAGCACGTCAGGCCCCTGCACCCCACTTACTGCTTGAGCTGAGGTGTCTGGTGAATCACATGCAGGAAAAAAAAAAAAAAAAAAAAAAAAAGATCTACGCGAAGAACGACTGCGGCGTTACGGCAGTCACTCAACGCATTACCTGTTACACTTAAATTGAGGTCAGATCTCGGCTGTGAAATTGGGTCTTTGAGTGCATTTTAGTTCTTGGACAGCACATAGTGAGGACATGTAATGGTGATTGTTGTGAAACCCGCTATTTTTGAACATTTCATTGCAACTTTCCTCTGCAGATACCCTTCTTTCACCCCGTTGCAAGTGTGGCATCTTCACAGTGTTGGAGTGTGTAACAAATTCATTAGACTTCCAAAGTGTCTGGGATCCTCTGCTAGGTGTCCCCCTAATGAGGATGACCAGCCTCTGCACTTTTTATTGGCTTTCAATTTAATGGTGCTCTGACAGTGCTGGTTGGAGTGGGGGTGGACAGATTATAGAGTCATGCTGTCACAGCACAGGCAGGCAGAGGACTGCTTAGAAAGAAAAAGCCAATAAAGGAAGCTTGAAACAATGTACCCTGTAAGATATGCATCGAGACCAGAGTAAATCTTATTTGAAGGGATGGTTTGTCATTTGTGAATGGAAGAGCTGTAGATGTCGAGGTGGGCGCGGGGGAGGAGTTTAGAAAACAAAAACGACATCCTCCCCAAGGAGGGTAAACCAGAAAAAAAAATCATTGCTAAGGAAGCTGGTTGTTTACAAGGTGCTGCATCCAAGCATATCTACAGAAAGTTGAGATGAAGAAAAAAAATGTGTGGTAGGAAAAGGTGCAACAGGGACAACTGCAAACTGGAGAAGATTGTCAAGCAAAATCCATTCAAGAATTTAGGGGCGCTTCACGTCTGTAGAACGGGTGGAGAGGCACAGAATCGTCCATATTGGTGGGTCTGATGAGAGACACGAGATCCAACAATACAGAAGACCTGAAGGCTACCAACACAACAACCTGGGCTTCCTTTACACCTCAGCAGAACCACAGGTTGATTACCTCTGCTCCACTCTGCATTGATGTAGTAATTTATGTGACATTTCCATTTTTAATATTCCCTTTTACTGAGCAAATTTAAATTTTATGATACACTGAATATTTAGGTTTTTTTTTTTAAATCCATCTGTTAACCATAATCAAAGGTTCTGTCAACAAACGTTTGACAGTTTTCACTCAATGTTTACATATTGAGTTTAACTTTATAAAATGAGTGACAATTTTTTTTTTTCTTGAGATTCTGAATTTGTGGATGTACACAAATTCACATTATCCTCTCACTACCTGTGATACAGTATGACATGCTTAGGAAAAACCTGTGCGAAACGGCATGTGTTACAACTCGTGCCACATCGTTGACGTTGCCTCTTCTTGGTGGAGAATGCAGAAATAGCTTGTGAGTGCTGTGTCCCAGGGGCTATGAAAAATTCACTCCACGAGCCAGAAGTAAGGGTGGCAACAAGCAGACAGCTGCTCGGTTGATTACTGGTGCCATTCGTATTTCATTATTTTTACCTTCCACCTTGAATTCAGGCTGAAGGTCTCTCGGCGTACCGTTATTTCCCCAAGGAGAATCTGCCGGTATACCCCATTAATGATTCTGAACCAAATATAGACTTATTGACTTTCATGAAGTATCCCTCAGTACTTGTTTGTTTTGCTTTAAAAACAATAAAAATAAAAAAAAAATCTCTCACCATTTGCGTTAAGAATCTCAGAGAACTTACGTCAGCATTACATAATTATCCAATATTTCACTGTCAGTGTGATTCGATGTGTTAGTTAAAGCAATATCTTATTAGCTGCACTCAAAAGAAACAGCCCTTGAGTACTGAGTGATTGCTTCCCAGATCTTAGCATTTCCCAAGCTAAGTTAACATACTTAGTATCTTATTGTACGCAGGATTAAAGCTTTTGATGCGAGATTAAAGCTTCCAAAGATCAAGATAAACGTCCCCTGTAGATTTTCTTTTTAACAGCAGCTTACTGTTGTTTTCACTCAAAACTCCCTCTGTGTGTCGGTGAATATTAAATCCATTCATCACATTAGTGAATTACGTTTTCGCAGAAGGACTCGCTCCACAGGCTGTTAACGTTCTGTGTGGTGGGAGTTATAAGCCTGAAAATTTCTTCTCATTGGTTTTGAGACACTAAAAGAAGTTGCTAAAAAAAAAGGAGTTTGCGCAAAGCTCCAACGAAGAAGCATCTTCTCATGAGAAACATTGCAGTTGAAACGGACGGAGATGTTCCAGCTCCCCTCAGCCTTTAGTGACTTAATGAATGCATCTGTTTTAGACGAGAACCGTCAGGAAAACTGTGTTGAGTTTGGTTGAGAATTTTAATCTTAAAAAAAGGCTTTAAGTGCTATGGTCAAAATCTCCAGCTTTAGCTGAAACATATTTAGCAATGAATAAATTACCACTGTTCTAGGTCAGTTAGTGCCTATTGTATTTTATGGTGTTAAAGTTTAAATCTTTAATTTCTATTTTCATCAATCTAAACTTGCCTTGGGATGGATTGGCGACATGTCCAGGATGTTCTCCGCCCCTCGCCTGATGACTGCTGGAGATTGGGCCCTACAATTGTTACCCTTGTAGGGTAACAAGGGTAATAATAATGATGGATGGATGGATGGATGGATGGATGGATGGATGGATGGATGGATGGATGGATGGATGGATGGATGGATCTAACCTGACCTAGAAAACAGTGGATGTTACCCCATTTTTCTGGTGAGACTGGTAGAGAAAGCAGCTTCCAATGGGTGTGTACTGAGCTGTGTTTTCAAAGTGACTGATTAGCAGTTCAGCTAAACTTCTTTAACATAAAGCACCAGTGGACATGTCCTTACTAAGCTTCTTCTGCTGAAGTTTTGGTCAGACGAAGCTTAGCTTGTAGCTTGAGTGTGTTTTTAGCAATGGAAACCCAGATTACTTCTGCGAGAGACTTATCTACCTGTTAGTAACAGACGAAAGAATCAAGTCGTATGTGGCTGAATCTGCATTTAAACCACCGCTGACTGCTTCATATGTGTGTATAAACTTATAGCTTATACTTTTTACGGACACTATCTCCAACAGGCTCAGATTTTCTACAACTACTCCAGTCTTATCCTATAAAATTTTGGCTAAAACAACCTGAAGCTCTTTTGGGTCGGTCCCCTCCCTCTCTTGTTCCCAAATGCAATGTAGGATCCAAGAGCAGATACACGTGTCTTGCTTTCTTCTCATCCATACGAGCATGTGTCGTCTTTCTCCCATTACATGCTTTCCTTATTTTATCCCCTCTTAATTTTTTATGAGTCTATAGTGGAGAGTAAGCAACTATCACTTCTATCACTGCTCACTGAGCAATAAAGTGAAAAATGCTAAGGAGGGCCTTTTTAAATATGTATGTGCCCTACGTAGAGCTTCAAACACGAGTCCCTTGCGTCTGCTTGAGGATGGTTCTGACAGTACTGCCTTTATGAAAATCTATACTTAGACGAGGCCAAGCCAAGCAAACTCATTCTTCGCCAGCTCTCAAGCATTATAAATGAGACAGCCTGGTGTGCTGAAAATTTCCCTGGAAGTCAATACCGAGAACTACATGTTTTTCATCTTTTCACAGACAGGGCCTTGAAATCGTGCAAGCGGAGTCAGCTTTTGGGTTGATTTAGCATTCTGCCAAGGTTATGGGGATTGATTTCTGGGAGATGCTGCTGTGATTCAAGTCGGGAAGCTGTTGGTGTCTGTTGAATAGGCTCGCTTCGTGTGCAGCGGCATGCAGTTTGTTTGTGAACAAAGTCGTGTTTAGCACCCTGTTTGGGGAGGAGGGTGTCTGCATAGCAAACTAAAAATGTAATTTGACAACTGTCAGAGGGATTATCCAACCCCGTTAGGGGATCAGAGCTTAACGAAAGATGCACACCAGCATCCTTGTGGCTGTGGAGAGGGAGTGTGTGGTAAGCTTCGTGAACATCCTCTTCCTTCCATTCTACTGTACTAGAAAAGTGTTGCAACGCAATTGTATGTAAGATTTGACCTCAGTCAAAAGATGTGCTTACAGTTTGGAATGGTGATGCACCATATAACCATGTGCAGCAGAATGACAACACCTTCAAAAGCATCTGCGGTTCTGAATATGGGGCGGAAGTAACAGAACCATTACACTGAAATGGGACCTTTAAACTAACATGAGTCAACTGACCTCTTTAGCTGTTTTGGTCACACATCTCAAAGCACAATTGGTTGTAAAACAGCTTTTGTGGAAATTGGTTAAGGCTCCACTGTTCAAATTCTTAATTTATTTGTCGACTGAGTCAGTCAACAAATGAACCATTCAGTCTTCTCTATACCAACTTGGACAAGGACACCTATTGAATTTTTTGTCTGGTAGTTAATTACGTTCTTTAAAAGATCGTATCAGCTTTTCAGTTTCAGTTCCACTTCACAATTATTGAATTAATTCATTTAAAATGTTTAATCAAGATGCATGAGAAAGAAGGTTATTAACTCCAACAGACTCACATCTCAGATATAGAAATTTTATATTATCCTTGCTCTGTTCACTTCTTATTTGCTGGTGTATCTTAGTCACGATAAAGCTGTCTGTGCTCAAGGACAACACTTGGTTATAAGTTTTGTCTCTTAACACTGCTTCCACTGAGCACCTGGGAAAGTTTCACAACTGAATAATAAAACTTAAATGCTTCCATAAAGTCAATGAAGCATCATCCATCTAATGTCTATACCCACTTATCCCGACAGGGACACAGAGTGCCTATCTCCAGCTCTCATTGGGCGAGAGGCGGGGTACACCTTGGACAGGTTGCCAGTTCATCACAAACAAAGCAACATAAATAAGATTATTAATAGAGTAAATATATGTGGTGTCATTACTGTCTACACTCATCTCAAGAGAATTTGAGTGTAGACTCAAATTACACGATTTTATCCCAGATGATGCCTTCCTCATAGGGTGGAATAAACAGAAACAGAAGTTGTTGTTTTTTGTTTGTTTTTTTTGTTTTTCTTAGATACTTAAGATCTCAGGGAACCTCTATTTGGATCTTTTATGAGTCATACTGCCATAATGCATCCACAAACCTTGATATTTCTGCCATATACAGCTGAGGTGCTGTATATAGTTTATGCATGTCTGTAAAGTATGCATGTATGCATTAACTGCAGTCTTGCTTATTCTGAGATATTTACGTCTGCACCTCTTACTGATATTTATTCATATGTTTTTCTTTTTTAAATAATTGAATAAGTAGATTATAAGACCTTTTTGACAGGCTCTCTGCTTTACTGTAGGTCTAAGGTTTATTGATCTGTCTTTTCCCCAACCCTTGAACATGGCAGAACTGCGAACCCACCCAGACATGGCCGACTAAACTGAAAGGAAAGACATCATCAAATAGAGGCGGGGCCAGGAGGGCCATGATAACTCTGGAGACCCAGCAGAGAACCATAACTATCTAGGAAATAGAAGTTTTTAAAAAAAAAATTGTTTATGATATTCTGGGGGAAAACTACTAATCTCTTTACTCTGGAGTTTCTTCCATTTCTTATTCTCTCTCCTCTATCTTCCAGCTCTGTTTACGGAGGTCCCTCGTGACGTTACGACACAGATCGGTGAAGACGTGGAGATGGCTTGCTCCTTCCATGGGGCGGGCTCTCCCTCATTCTCCCTGGAGATCCAGTGGTGGTACATCAAGAACCACAAAGACTCTCAAGGGCTGGCCTCACAAATCTCTAACACAGTAAGCTAAATGGCATTGCACGTCTTCCTTACTTCTTTGTCTGAACAAAGATTTTCGATTTTCAGAGATATATGAAAAGCAAAAATGTACATTTTAAAGTTGAAATACTGCCAACGAGTAAGTCACAGATGCCAGAAGCTATTTTCTCATTGTGATTCATGGCTGAATTGAATACGTTTTCAAAGTCTCTTGAAGGTCCTCATTGAGGGGCATCATCAAACTCAATATTGTGAGCTGAGTTATCTCTAACAGGTACTAACGGGCCTAAGGTTGTAAAAATTCTCATCTTGGACCCTTTTAATTTTGAGTAAACGAGCCCCTCTAAACACCTCCTGCCTTCTTGAGCTGTTGCCACTCCAGCTGAATACGAACTATCTCCAAGAGAGAAAACACTTTGAGGACTGCTAGAGCCGAGCTTAAAGCTGACTATGTATCAGTCAAAGTGAAAGGAATTATTAGCCATGGCAGACAGCCTCTGGCATAAAAACGAAGGTATAATTGCTGATTAGCATTTGCCAGCACTAGGGGAAACAGGTTGACTTCCTCCCATTGGGTGGTGGTGGTGGTGGTGGGGTTGGGGTTGGGGGGACTCAGGCTCCCCTGTTGAGCCTCTGGACACTGTAATTGGCTCTGAGAAAGAAATAGATTTTCAAAATCTCCCTTTTCTCCATGCATAATTCATACCCATGCCCAAAAGAATACCTCTGTGCAGCCGCATACATAATCGCAAGTTTTCCTAGTCGGAAGCTTACGTGCTCGGGGTGCGTGTAAGCATATTGCATATTTGTGAGTCTGGACTAAATAAGACGTGATGTCAGTGACATAGAAGGGATATGAAGAACATCATCAAACATATTTGCTTCATGTTGCTCGCAAAGAAGATGTTTGTAAATTTCCTAAACTGCTTTCTGTGTCTCCGTGCAGGTTGGGACTCTCGAGGAAATGCCGAAAGATGCCACCAAAATTAGTGTAAGCAGGATTTGTAAGCACAAAAACTCAACTTTTGAAAAATTAGTCAAACCCACTGAGCCTTTTTTAAATTGCCATATTGCAGCCACAAACTTCAAGAGCCAAATTGCTAAGAGGAAAGAAAATGTTGTTGCTCTGAAATACTATATATTTCATAAATAAGAATTTGAAGTGTGCTTTAATCTGTGCTTAATAGAACGAGTGTTCACTAGTGTTACAGTAGAGTATTTCTCTATTGCAGCTTTACACATATAGAAATGGTATTCCAATTCTGTTAAAATTCTCTAGTTCGCTTAAAATTGCTGGAGAGTATCTGTTAACTTTCATTTTCAAGCCTGATCACATACTCAATTAGCTCATTATTTTTTGTACCTCCTAAGTATATAGGTAGCAAAAACTTGCATTCTGGTCTTGTATGACCAGAGCACCATCTTTCACACGTTTACTGAGTGAAACTGCAAACAGGACCAGTTATGGTTTTCTTACAACAATGGCTTTATTCTTGTATTTAATCTGCAAAGGATCTGCCCAAGTATTAGTTGTCCTGATGAGAGATTCTCACACCTGAGCTGTGGATCTCTGCAGCTCCTCTAGAGTTGCTGTGGACCTCTTGACTGCCTCTCTGATTATTGCTCTCCTTGTCTGGCCTTTCGGTTCAGGTGGATGGACATTTCTTGGTAGGCTTGTTGTTGTGCCACGTTCAAAATTTGGGGTGCAAGTTTGTAACTTTACCTGGTTTTAAACTTCTCCACAGCTTTATGTTTGACCTCTATGCTTTCATCATTAGTCTTCATGGCATTGTCTCTGAAGACCTCTGTCTATTAGTAGCTTGCTGATTCGCCAATTTACTAAAGTTTCTGTGGAAAGTGAGTCCAAGTTATTTTCAGAAAATTCTTAGTCGCAGAAGCATATATCTAAGATTTTCCAAAGAATATGCAGCTGAAGATGATGAAATACTTAATTTACAGATTATTTTTTTTGCTTGGGTACTTTATAATAGTGACATTTCATGTAATTTCCGGCAGTATTTCGTTTAAGACACTCTGCCTCTGTTGGCGACAGGTGGTAAAAGTGGCCGGCAGCAACATCTCCCACAAACTCCGTCTCTCCGGTGTGAAACCAGCAGACGAGGGCACGTACGAGTGCCACGTCATCGACCACAGCGGCCCTGTGGAGCAGCGCTACCGTGTCCAGGCCTACCTCCGAGTGGAGCCGGACAGGCTTCAGGAGTCTGACGACGCTCAGCTGCAGGAACTCGAACACCCCTCAAGGGGGAGCCGCTTGCAGCAGAACAACGACCGGGAACTGAGGAAGAGATCAGCTCACACTATTCCTGACTGCAGGGGGCGCTGTGTCCTTTAGAGTGGGAATTGTGTCTGTCTGCATGTTCCTCTGTTAGAACGTGTGTGTTGGTTACCACACTAGTGGCTCTTTATTTCTTGAAGGATATTCTGTGCTTAATGATCTTATCTTGTTGCTTGGAAGCCAGTGTTGGTGGATGTTATTTAAAGGGTTTTGTGTACCAGTACATTTTTTGTTCTTGTTGTTCTTTTTTTTTTATTTTTATGTGCTTTTTGCTTTAAAATTATGTGAACAGTAACTGCAAGAAATGAATAAAGTGAACTTGTTTTCTGCTATTTTATGATGAAAAACAGCAATGCCGAAATTATTAATGCAGTTGCAGGAAATGGGAGTTGGAACCAGACATTATACAAACCTCCTATAGAAAGACACATAACCACTTATTTCTGATAGTCGGACATTAAATCAGACTAAATCTTTCTGGTTTTAGGTCAGTTTATTTGCTAAGTGCTAGAAAAGGAGCACGAGGATATTTTTCAGATTTTTTTCAAAGTTTTTTTTCCCCTTTCAAACTATACGACTTTAGTGTAATGTTTTTAGGTTATGTAATGGCCAAATTTGATTTCTCACAATTATTCTTGTTGATTTCTTTTGATCTTATTTTGCGCTGTCGCTTTAAAACCCCTCAACTAACCATGTGTCGTCATGGATACTCTGACTGACTAACATGTAAGCGTTTCGAGAGTGCCTCAAATCTTGCAAAAGCTGCGATATGATCACATGGGTTGATTGTTTAAATATGTAGTTAATTTATTTTCTCTGACTATAGAGAAAATAAAATAAAAAGTCTCATTATTTTTACATTTAGCAAAAAGGAATACGTTTTGTAGTCCTGACTGACTAAACTATATAGTCTGATTTAATGTCAGTGACAGAAAAATGGTTGTGCCTTTTTATATATAGTGGATGTAAATGCCTGATTCAAATGATTATTTTTGGGTTTTTACTTTTTACTTAGGTTGTCTTTGACTGAAACATAATGGGATTATCAGTGTTACTGTAAAAATGCTTTAAAAAAGAAAGTATATTTATTTTGTTCTTCTGGAAAATAAGAATGAGTCGCAGTCAATTTAGAGTAAACCGTATATTGTTTGACTTTTAAACCAGATATATGTCCTCTAATCACATGGGGTTTTAAAATCTGTTTTTACGTATCAAGCTGACCGTAAGCACTTTACTGTTAGTAATGTTATGGCTGCCATTATTCACAGTATCAATTTGTGTCTCCGCTTTAACAGAGCATGTAACTTTATGCTCGATTTGAATTGTGTTATTTGTGCTGCTGCTATTTCTTCTGTAAATGTATTATTCAAATATGTTATTTTCTTTTCTTGTTTGGTGATCTTGTTTGGTTCCTGCTTAATTAAATGATAAATAAGAAATCACAGGCCTGAAGGTAGCTATCTAGCATTTTTATATCCTTCACTCAACAACTAAATTGCATCTGTTGTTGAGGGTTACAGATAGAAGCTACGGCAACATAATAGTGACAGAAATCTTGAATGTAAATGAATTGCTCGATTAGTAGCTAATAAAGGCACCCTCTTTTATCTGCTTTGGATAGTGTGGGTTTGACTTTACTGATATTTACCTTTATACATTTTGTTGCACAAATTGCGTCACAGAAACTATATGGAAAAATGTTCCAGATTGTCGTTTGCTGCCAGCTCCAGACTGACGGGAGCAAGCTCTCCATGCTGCTTTTCAACACTGAGTTCATCTTTTTGACCAGCAGAGAGCAGCACTGTTTAAGATATACACATATGAAGAAAAGCACCAGGCAAGACAGAAATACTGCTGCAGATGTACTGTCGGAAATAACAAAAAATATTACGGAGTGCTGATATAACATTATTTTAACTCACTTAAACTCTGAAAGGTATTTGTTCCAGGGAAACCGGTGTTCACTGGGAAGTGCTCATAATTGTGCTACTGCACTAAATGTCCTGCTGGCAACAACAGGGTTCTGGTTTGGTTACTGATACTTAATGTTTGATTTGAGGTAACTTGATGGGAAAATACTGGTTCTTAATGGGATTCCTTTCATTAACGCCAACCTCAGTGAGGCTTATCTTTAATTACTGAATAGTTTCTAGCTTGTTTAGTCTGTCTCGATTTTTAAATTTCGGAATAAGAAATTACTTTTCAGAGTCCATTAAAACAGCTGGACAGTCCTTTAATTAAGTGTTGACCAGAAATCTACATTAGCGTCAAAAATCGACCAGTGCGTAGACATCATATCCTGTGGAAAAATTGTTTGCTGCACAACTGACAGAAACTTTTTATGACTGAGTCAATTCCCTAATGCAGTGTCACCCAAAGCAAAGAGCTATATACCCAAAACTTTTTAAAGAAGCACTTTACCTGAGATTGTACATTAATAGTATTCCTCCATGGAGTACTAAGGTATAATGTCTTCATAATTTTGGCATTCCATGAACAATGAAAATGACAATGAAGGGGGTCATTTAGCAGAACATATGAAAGGAGGAGGACTTTATGTTTCTTACATGTTGTCAATCTATAAGTTTAAAAAGGGGGTCCAGGTTAGTGTGTAAAACAAGTTTATCAAGCTCTTAAAAGACATGTAGGGTTATGTTATATTCTTATGTAGTCTTCAGTGAGACAAAAGTATGAACCACCTATATGGTTCTTATTTGATCGCCATAGAAGTATTCCTCGTGAAATGCTTTATTATCTGAATGTCTTTTTCCTCGATAAAGTCTTTGGTGAAACCATTTCTCCCCTCTGCCCTTTATGTCCAGTGGTTCTGCATCTTTCTTTCTTTGCTAACCAAAGTCTGATAGCAGAAGATGGCTGCTCACGGTGAGCCATGAGCCAGTAGAACCATGGTTAAATTAAATTAACCTCAAATTAACCTCCATGTCGCCTTGGATGTTGCAAGCATGCGGCAACATGGAGGTTTCCATCATTAACTTTCATTAACTTTCCATCATTAACTTAACAAATCATTAACTTTCTAGGGCAAGCATGTGGCAACATGGAGGTTTCCATGTCTTTCTAGGGCATGCTTGCCCTAGAAAGTTAATGATTTGATGCAATTAGCTGGGCTGCCTTGGACAGAATCGAATCTGTGTTGTAAACAATGTGATGTGTGATGAGCAAAGGAAGAATTAAAATTTCCACTTAAAATTGGGAGTGGTGGGAAGGTGGAGCAACTATTTGAAGAGCATATTCCTCTGAAATGAAAGTCACGCATCGTCCCATCAGATGATGATTCGTATTTATTTCACTGTTCCCAAGATACAATCAAAATGTATATACATGAGATGCTGCAACAGTTGTCACTCTTGTAAAATCTGTGTTCAAGCTCTCACAATTCTTTATTTGTTGTAGACAGGAGTTTTATTGTAGAACTTTAAAAAAAAAAAGTTAAGCCCTATTAGCATCTGAAGTGATGCTAATCATCGCTTCAGACTGAGAAGAATACAAATAGACTTTAAAATATATGCCTTGATTAACAAAGTTCTCTACTAACTTATATTTTTTTTTCTCACAACAGGAAGCTTAAATGAATGATATAAGAAAAGAAGAGAAAGAAAATACATGAGAATAAAAGCTTTTTTTTAAGTCGGTAGAAATAAAAGAGTGTAAATTTGCTTGGAAAAGCATGATGGAAAAACAGATGGAATATGTTTCCACCTTCAGGTCTATATAACACCTCATTTTCCAATAATGACATTCCTGTAGCCCTTGACGTGACACAACTTGTTGCTATCGAAGTCGACGACCAGTTTTCTCAAGCCAGAATGGGTCGGAGTGAAGTAGATTTTGACTTTGGCGTCTTCCCCTGGTCCCACCGTGCAGCCCAACCTGGAAGGTAAATATTTGAGTATTACTTCTCTGAACGCTGCTTGGAGGCTTTGTCAAGATCCTCAGATTGCATAAACATTTCACAGATATAAATCACTGCAGGCACAGAACTCTTTGCTTATGACTATCTATGGAGGTGATGCAGCCAGAGCAGCAGTGTTTGAGCTGCTCTAGACAGAAATCAAAATGCAAGGATTCTTTTTAATCTCCTGTCTACACAAATTGTGTGTAAACAGGAGGTCATTTTAGGTGCAGCTGGAAATCTAGCAACCTCTCAGAGATGATGTTTCCCCCAGTGAGGTTGGCCCCCTCAATGCTGTAGCAGCAGTTGTCCAGCGGCTCTGGCAGAGGGTTCTGGAGGCTGATCTCTGCGGCCAGCTTCCGGTTCTCCTTCGGTTCACCCAGGATCTGTAGGGAACAACCACATTAGCCTGATTAAAGTCTTGCAACATTGCAACTAAGAACTTCGGTGTATTTTGTTGGGATTTTATGTGGCAAGCCAACACAACGTAGAAAGTAAGAGTGAAGTGGATTTAAAAATCTTAAAATGAGATGCTCATTTGTATTCAACTCGCTTTGCTTTGTGGTCCACGAATTAAAATCCACTGCAACCAGCTGCCTTCTGATCTGCATGTTTTTTTAATGGCCCAGTCAAAGTTCACCTAAATTGAATCGAGAATTTGTAAAATTTTAGAACTATGCATTTTCCTACTTCGTCTCCACAATTGAAATCTACAAGCTGAGGTATGTTTACAAGCAATACAGAGCAGCCTTAAAAAGGTTTATCTGCAGAAGGTGACCTGAAAAAGCAAAAGGAGACAAGAAGCACCAAAGAAGGAAAGGACTGCTTTACAGCAGTTGCACTGCAGCTGTGTGAGAAGTCAGAAGGACAAAAGATAAATTTAAATTCCTCAATGGAGTAACTCTCAGCTTGTGTCTCTGAAGTTTCTAACATCTTCCTCAGCTGTGGCCTCTGTGTGTGTTATGTGTCTCTGAGCGTGACACTTCCGGGCAATCAGACCGAATGCCTGATATTTACAGCGTATTTACTCTGGCTTCTTACACGGTCATCGCCAGGTCAAACTTCTACCAACACAGAGCTGCATATTCACCATTCAGCTCTTAAACATGGCATTGAAAGCTTATCTTTGCAATTTCACTCTGACTGATTTGACAAATTCTGCACACCCCTACAACTATTGCTTCTGGATAACCCAACTTAACCTTTTTACCTACTATGTAGCTCCAGTACTATACACACTCAACAACTATACCTTATAGTCACCCTTAAAACGGTCCTGCTCCACTTCACCTTAGGGTCTGTACTGCTTTTGATCTGTTAAAATCACCCGATTGTTAAATTTATCAACAGTGCTTTGCAGAAGCATTCTACAGCAATTAAAGTTTTCTACAA